GGTTGGCAACCACATCGGCTGATGGAGCAGCAGTGATCACGTAAAGACAAACCCCCTGTCCTGGACTTTCCTCAAAGCAGGGAAGTTTGAGTGCAGGTGAGGGTGGGGACAGCACGGATAAGCTGGTTTTCTGGAGCAAGAGTTGAGCAAGATAGAGGAGGGTCGTCCTACAGAGACATCCTGGCCAGCACAGGCAAAGAGAATATACACATATGGCAAAGGGGAAAATACACTCACAGCTGAAATCCTGAGTTTATTTTTAATTAGATCCTCTTTAAACTTATTTTTACCAAGTGGCCATGATGGCTGCTCTCCCACATGGTTACCAAGAACTAGGTTAAAGGCACTGAAGAAAATTCCTTTTAGATAAAGTTTCTCCAGAGATTTTAAACACAAGAAAACGAAGACTAGACAAACCAGGAACCCAGGGTGATATTTTAGGCTCTTCACAATCTGTATAAATCCAAATCTAAGAAACCTGCCCTAACACTACTACCCCTTTAATCCCAATCCACAGGAATCTTAAGATTGCCCAGAAAAACTTTTTACCACAAATTTAATTTTGTTTGCAATGAAAAAACTCTTAATTTCATATTTTTCATACCACTTTTTTCTTTTTTATTTAAAATATTATAACCAATTAACATACTAGGTAACAATGTTTACATTCCAGTGGTGCATGTTTAATGACTAGGGCATGAATGATTAAAAACCACAATAATTATCTCAGCATTCCCTACAAAGTGCCCCATTTTGTTTTGTCTAGAGGAGAGGAAAGGAGAGGAGAGGGAATGGAACACAGGGAAGGAACAGGAATGAAGAAGGAATGGCATCATAGAGGGAGAAAAACAAATGTCAATTATCATATGCGGTTTCCAGGTTTTAAAACCCGTTTAACAGGATAAACTGTAATGAGAAAATAGATGTCACAGTCCAGGTAGACAGCTAGTTCAGTTTAACTTCATCATTCAGCTAAAAGATTAAGAGCTTCTCAAAAATATACCAAATATCGGGCCTACAAAAGTAATTTATTTCTTCGTAAAATTTACTAAGATTTATTCCTTTTGTAAAATGTAAAGAATGGACTGGTATCACGAGCAGGTTTCTACTTATAAAAACAGACAGTAATAATGTCCAACGAACACATCTAACACAATTTTCCAAGATATACAGTGAAAGATTTTCCACGTGAGTCTCTCTTACTGATGCAAGGTATGTATTTTACACACTTACTGGTTTTGTGTCAACATTGGCTATAAAGTATTTAACACACATGTATAATTCACACTCAGTAAAGAGCTTACAATAAGGGCAATAGCTTACTTGGGAAAGCATAGAAAATTAGTGTGAGGTAGTTCAATAAAAACCTAGTTTAATTTGTAAATTATTGTGAGAATAGAACATTGTGCAAAACTAATCCACAGGTAATATTTCTCAGAAGTTTCAGGAACGAAGAGAATCTAAACTAGAAATGGCCAGAAACTGTTACTCTTACGAGACTCTCCTTAAGAGCACTTAACTAAGAGCAGTTAGTTTGAAATTAATTAGGACTTTTGTTTTCCTTGAGTTTTCTAATCGTACCCCAAACTATACATTTCTGCTTCAATGCCCTTTACCTCTTCATCTTTCTTGCTATTAAGGAAAAATTAGTTTCCTCTGATTCAGGAAAAACCTAAGAGAGATCATAGAAACACAATGTACACTAACATGTAAAGGATATGGAGGCAACATTTAAGAGGGCTGCTAATGACAGAACAGTGGTGTTTGCTTTTTCTACTGAGAAGAGTTTACTGGGGTCATGGGGCTTCATGCATTCACTCTACAGCTAATGTGTGACTAATGAACAACACTCACAAACTACAACAGTATTTTTGAAAATAGACTATGTCTTTACCTCAAAATGTTGTGCAGGCTTGTGCCTAGGCAACACTGAGTAGTTATGTCTTCATATGTATAGCACATACTGGCCGACAGTGTAAACCAAGTCTTATCTGTAACCCCAAAAGTTTCACTTGCCCGCTTCTGATCTATCAGACACTAATGTCCTCTTCACCTTCATCTTTTTAGACAAAACAGCAGGATTAACATGGAAGAGAATAATGAAAGGGCTTACAGTAAAGTTTGCTGCTTTGCATACCATCAAGATTCTCTGTACTATGAAGGGGGCTGTGTGGTAGCCTCCTCATTTAAGAGGCTGGCATTTCTCTTAGGAAGTCTGGTGTGAAGCACTGTGCCTTGAACCAACCTGGAAGAGTGCATACCAGGAACGATCAGCAGCCAAGGGTGTGTGACAAAACGAGAGAGAACTGTTCAGCAAACAGTATGAAAGAGTTGAGATGCTCTATTTATGTATATTATAATTAAGCAATCCCAACAACAATTATTTTACAAATGGTCAGTATACATTAGAGAGTAACAGAGTAGTAACCAGGAAGAACTATGTAGAAAGAATTAGTGTCTTTCCTATAAAGCTGAATAATAAAATGATAGAAAGTTGAATAAAATAATTTTCTGACAGTAAGACAATGGGTATATTAAATATATAATGTTGAAAAACCAAAGTTATAAGAGAAGCAAGGTGGCTTTACATAAGTACTGCTTGACAGAAATCTTATTTGTAATTTCTTTAAAAAAAAAACACACACAAATGTTTAAGATGTTTTAAAGGTTCAAAAAGCTTGTAAAATAAAAAGAACCAGTATATCTTTAGCTTAACAGATTTAAGAGACGAGGGAAAGCTGTATTTAGATACTGCATTTTAAAAACCCAGGGCACGCAACAATTAACAGCCTTTGTTTTCAGGATAGAATTTGTTCAGTATTTTAGTCTATGCTAACTAATAAGAGTCGCTTTTCTCTGCATCAGCTGAAGCACGCTGGTTGGCAAGGGGGAGCTGGCATTGAAGAAATGATACAGTAAGAACACCTGGTTTTCCGTGCTTAAGCAAGACCTCTAATCAACAGAGATGGCTTACTAGAATCAAACAGAAAATATGGGAAACTTCGGAAAGCATGTCAGTTGTTAAAGTGCAACAGTGAAATAATCTATCCCAGGGAAAATAAAGCTGATTAACTGCCAAATATAAACTAAGTACACACTCATGCTCAAATTTCTGCTAAAATCGTAAATCCAATTCTGTTTCTATAATTCAAGAGGTGTTATAGTTTCAAAAGTCTAATTTGCTTAATAAAATTAATGCACCATGTTGTATGAGTAGAAAAGGGATTGATAAAAAGGCTGACAACTTCAAGAGGCTAGAAATCACGACTTGAAACTGTCAAAAACAAACTTGCTATTTCAAAGCATAGAAAAAGGCTAATGTATTTTAATCCTAAATATTGCACATTAACAATAACCTAAAATACCTAACTCAAAAGGAATTTTGCACTAAATACACGAATAACATGCCAGGCGAACTTTCAGACACTGCATATTGAGATGCACCAGTTCTTGCTCCTGTTGGTCATGAATTCCCATGGACTTTCTGCCTAGAACCTTGTCACTTACTTAAGTATGCATTTCCTAGTTCATTACATGAAATCCTTCTTGTTCCAAAAATAACAAAAGGTGCCTGGGGGCAATACAGAGAATGTATTTCAGAGATAATGAGACTTCAATGACATTTACTTAAGAATAATTCAGTTGTGGAGAAAGAATCCTGCAGGTATAAAATGTAAACAGTTAACATACACTTGTCAGGAGCAGCACCATTCTTACACTACTCAACATCCACATTGCATGTTTTATTGAAAATCAGGTATAAAAAAACAAAGACTCAGACTAAATAACCACCACTTATGCCTGCTCTGCTCAATGTGAAGAAACAGTCCTTAGAAAATGATATCCTACATATGGCTGTGTGCTACTATTTTCAGATGAACGGTATATTGCTCATTTGATACATCACCTACAGAAACTGAAGTAGGCTTTGGAACCTCCCAACAGCTAGTATAAATATGATTATGCTACAGGTAGAATCAAATGGCCAGAAACACCTTGAGAACTGGTGCTCAACTGACTGACACTGTGACAGGAAACCAGAAAGGTCCAAGGGCCTGAGGCTGCAGGAAAGGGAAAGACCAGGCTCTAGACCACTGCTGGGACCTACAGCCTGAGTAGATTAACTCAGTGTATAGAAAAACAGGCTCATAGCTAGTAGAAGTGAACCATCTGTTTATTTGCATTGAAATGTATTATTCATGAAGTATCCTCTTGACTTTATGTGATCATAAGCTTTGAGCATGCCACAAATTTGCAGAAAATACCATATTCTTTTTACTTTACTTTTGTTGTGTGGGGTGGGGGAATAGGAGGGCGGTAGTAGATGCCCAGCATCTTCAAAGACATGCTCTGAGTTATTCTGCCATTTAGATGATGGGGCTTTTGCCAAAAAACAATGTAAGATACCTACCAATTGTAATTAAATTAGGATTGGCAAGTAGCAAATATTGGAGGTTTTTTAACACGTTCATCATTTACAGTAGTTATTCCTGAATACAACTGGCTACAGGTTATTTTCCCTCACTCCTCTGGGGTTATTTCATTGATAAGCACATAACCCTGAAGGATAACATCATGAACAAAACATTTGAAATAAAGTTCTAATAAAAAAAACTATAAAAATCTTAAATAATTCATGATATAGGCAAGTCACCACATAATAGTTGCTTTGATAAACAAAATCTTACAAATTCAGTAAAAAAAAAAAATCAGCAGCATAAGATAAAGCAAATATGCAAATTTTAAACCATGATAAAATAATTAGGTTTACATTATACAGTTAATTACAGCAAAAATACAATACAGTTTTGTTGCTGTTTTAAAACACAACTTAAGTTTTAAATTACATCACTTGAAATTAAAAAAAATAAACTACTTTACTACAAAATGAATTCTACATTTTTGAAAATCACTCAAAAATAAGACCACTGAAGTTTTCAAAGTAGTTCTATCAATGACTCAATGACTCCCCACCCCCCCCCACCCTACCCCCCCACCCCGAGGCCCAAGTAGTCATCTACAGCAGCCCAGAGGTCCGGCTGATGCTTCTAGACTGCTGTCTGTGTCTGAGGCCAAAGTCGGATCTGTTGACATTGAAGACACATCATTGACAGACGATGACGACGATGGATGCTGAGAGCCATTGATCACTGCTGCACCTGTGCTATGAGAAACAAAACAGCAAATCAGTTGCAGACAGAGTTGCACACCAAGCTACCTATACTGTACTGGCTACCTCTAGTGGTCAATAAGTTTTTTCCTCTTGGCTTTGAAAAGGCTCATTAGGTTGTGCGTGAATAATACTGATAATACACGGAAGACTGTCTGTACTGCATTTTGTTGGGAGAGAGGATCTCAAAGAGATATATGACCCACAAAGTTAAAAACTACTGCCCGCCCTACTAAAAATGACTTACGTTGTCTTCTCACCATAAACTCCAAACAGTATTCTGGTACATCTATTTTTTTTTTTTTTTTAAGATTTTATTCATTTATTTGAGAGAGAGAGGAAGAGAGTGCATGAGTGTGAGAAGGAGCAGAGGGAGAGGGACAAGCAGACTCCCTGCTGAGCGGGGAACCCAACTTGGGGCTCCATCCCAGTACCCTGAGGTCAAAACCTGAGCTGAAGTCAAAGTCAAGACACATATCCTACTGAGCCACCCGGTGCCCCCTGGTCATCTTGTTTTAAAGCAAAAGCCAAGACAAAGGCTAAAATCATTTTACAAGAAAGGGCCCTTAGAGGTTCAACTGTCACAGTTTGCATGAGGTTACATACATGACTTGCCAGGGTCACTAAAATGCCCTAGAGTCTTGTTATTTTTACTCTAATAAATACTTGATAAAAGCAAATATGGATTTATTAAACAGATCAAGTAGGGCAAGACTGGGGCACCTGGGTGGCTCAATTGGTTAAGCGTCTGCCTTCGGCTCGGGTCATGATCCCGGGGTCCTGGGATCGAGTCCCACGTCGGGCTCCCTGCTCAGCGGGGAGGCTGCTTCTCCCTCTCCTCTGTGCTCTCACTCTTTCTCTCCCTCAAATAAATAAGTATTTTTTTTAAAAAAGTAGGGGGAGACTGTTTCCTTTAGTGAAAGTATAGCTAACAAGCATTTCCTGGATTAAAAAAAAAAAAAAAACAGGAATATATAACCAGTAGAGAAATTCTTTCAAGGGAGTTGGGTTAGGAAATGGGAGGGAATGTCATGGGGGGTGGGAAGTATGTTAAAGGTGATTCATGTTCCAGGTTAAGTACTTTTTTATGGTATTTCTGAACTATGTGATCACTAAATAAGGGTCATTCGAAATATGAGTTTATTAAATAATGCAAGTTATACAATAGTTCTTAAGAACACATTTATGGAATAAAAGCAATGGTTTCCAAATTTTTAGCGCTGAATTTTAGGCATTCAAGGATGCTAAAAACAAAGCCAGTTGATGGACTCTGAGAAACAAACTGAGGGTTTTAGAGGGGAAGGGGTGGGGGGAGGGGGTTAGCCTGGTGATGGGTATTAAGAAGGGCATGTATTGCATGGAGCACTGGGTGTTATATGCAAACAATGAAAAATGGACCACTATGTCAAAAACTAATGATGTACTGTATGGTGACTAACAATAAAAAAACAAACAAAGCCGGTTGAAAACCACTGCTCCAGGACCCAGCATCTCAGTGTTTGAAATTATCCTACTATTCTGTCTAATGATGAACAATAAACACTTTGGAATACAAAAGGTCCTCTGGAGCTTGTCTTCAAATGCAACAAGGAAATAGCCAGGGGCATGGGAATAGGCAAATCTTGAGGGGGCTGGGAGATAAAAAAGAATGGAACCATTAGGGACAGAGCAGTTGACACAAGGTAAACTGAATAAAAAAAGCAGACTGAGTACACTTCAGGCCTGACCCTCTACTTCAAATTCCATCCCTAGGACACTAGAGAATGTGCCTGTTCTGACTGAAGAGTACACAATACCACGGCTAGCTTTGAAGACTGGTACTGAAATATTCAAATTGTAAAAGGGTTCCACCAAATATACATTTTCATGCCTCTATTTTTAATCCAAATATCATTTTATCCAAACTTCTTAATCTGATAAAAATTAACTTTTATTTATTTTATTTTTTAAATTATTTTTAGGGTAATCTCTATCCCCAACATGGGGCTTAAACTTACAACCCTCAGATCAAAAGTTGCATGCTCTACCGGACTGAGCCAGCTAGGTGCCCCAAAAACTAACTTTTAAATGCATTAAACATTAAACAGTTAACTTTTTAATCTGAAAATCAAATACCTACGAAAAGAAAAGTACTTGTTTTTTTTTCCGAACTTTAAAGCAATCTAGGAAATTCTCAAATATCTGAATGGCAATAATAGGGAAAATGGTTAATTTTGGGTAGCTGGGTCATTTCCCTCTTAAGTGAGTCTCTATACCCTCAAAGGCATGCAAACTCACTGTAATATTAGCCAAACCAAAATAAAGATAGGAAAGTGGGAAAAATATATTTCATTTTTATTTTTTATTATCTTTTAAAGATTATCTATTTGACAGTGAGAGAGAGACAGCGAGAGAGGAACACAAGCAGGGGGCGTGGGAGAGGGAGAAGCAGGCTTCCTGCTGAGCAGGGAGCCCGATGTGGGCTGGAACCTGGGATCCTGACCTGAGCCAAAGGCAGAGGCTTAATGACTGAGCCACCCAGGCGCCCCTCATTTTTAAAAATCAAGTTGAAAGGGTATTGTGATTATCTGATATTCTAATTTGTCAAAGACTTCCTTCTGTTTTTGCATATAATCAAGAACTGAATACTTTTATAACAGGTTGATTCACTAACACTTTTCTCTATAAGCTATAACTGAGAATCCAGAAAATGTCTAGAAACCTAAAAACTTACAGTCCTGTCCTTTCCACTTATTTTATAACCACAGTCAAGTGTTCTTTAAGACCCAATTTCTTTAAGAATAGATACAACTGCTCTATCTCATGAAATTAAATTTACTGAAACATTCAACACTTAAGATGTACCACTCATTAGGATAGCATTCTGAAGTATAAAAGTCTCCCAAATAACGGACGTTTCAAATCCCACTCGAATTTCCAACATGAATAATTTACTTATGCTACTACTGTACATCAATACAAAGCCAATTAAGTCCGCTATTAAATCATTTACAATATAGCTTTTGTTACAACTAAACTGTAGGTAAAAGCTGTCAAAATCAATTTATATTTTCAATAGAATCTATATTATAATTTGGAAAACTCACTCCTGATCAAGGATTTAAAAAAATAAAAAAATACAAAAACTAACAAATATAACCAAAAATGTTATAGAAAGCCACAGAAATTATTTAAACAAATGTTTATATTACAACAAAATGGGCATTTGAAACTATAGTTAAAAGTCTTACCCATAGGATATCCTTTTTTCTTTTTTCTTAAGATGTAGAAGAGTTTTAGAGGGATGATTAAAATGACACTGTTTTACTCAAATTCAAGACCTATCTGTACTTGGCCTTCAATGTTCAATTCAAATTTCATCTCTTTCCTGAAGCTGCCCTAACATCTGTAGCCAAAAGTCTCTGCTGCCAGCCAAAGGCCATATGGGATGCTGGAAAAACCATGCCATCTGAAGTTACTGGTAAACATGGCTTCTTCAAGTAGCAGCTTTTCTATGTATTTGTAATTTTATGTTCATTTACTTTTTCTGAACTTTGGTTTCCTCATCTGTAAAATGTGAATAATCCCTTCCATGAGGTCTTAGGTAAGGCTTGAATGAAATAAAGTACATAAAACCACCAGTGCCTGTCATGTAGTATGTACTTAATATATACAAGTTACCTGCCATTTAACTTTTCCCCCAATGCTTTATGCTTTTATAAGGGCTAAAATTAAATATAAGCTAGCTTATGATAAAAGAAAATGTTTAACTCCTGCAAACCAGTTTTCTTCCTAGATATGGAATGATTTCTAATGGCACTTTTAATGTTACTGCCTTAGCTTTTAGCAAATTAAAAAATACTAAAATGAGAAAGATGGTAACTTGGTATCACATGTACCAAATTTTTCAATGAAGCCTTAGTTCATCCAAAGTAAAGACTGTTAAAATCTTGGTAAGTATACTGAACTGTGAAAAAATTCTTCTTTAAAGAGAACAATGCCAACAGAAAAAGGTTTTAAATTTCTCTTCTTCAGTGGAATGTCAGTTTTATAGAAAAAGATGTAGATTTTATGAAGTCAGTTACCAATATATTAGTATGATGTATTGATACAAGAGCGTACCAGTGCTTTCAAATTTAACTACCCAAGTTGTATTCCCTATACTTCTTAAACTTTGAACAAGAACTGTGGTAAATAGGGGGAAAACTGCAGGATTCATGAAACTGAAGATTACCACAGAAGAAGTAAACTGTAACCTTAACCAAGCTTATATTGTAACCAACCTAAAGGAGAGGGCTGCCCCCTTATAACTCCATTCTTGGTTCTCTCCTCCAAGTCCATAACTTCTTTGTATATCAACTCTGAAAAAGAAGTGAACAAAAACAAACTTTTCAAAAGTCTGAGAGCCAATCTCACAGATATCTGTGTTTTAAGTAAAACATTTTTATACATGTTAACTATTTCTAATAGTGTCCTTTCAATGGCACAGAGTCCCTTAAGTGTCAGTCTGAGATTCAAAGGTGTTAGTAACAATTCCCTGATCCTGAACTATGAACTAAACTAAAAGAAAAAAAATCTCTGCTATAACTAATGTTTCTAAAGTTGGATTAAGGATAGTGCTCAGGTTAGAAGCCTTATCTTTTTTACTCCACCAGCATTTTGTACTATACCATATCATCTTACACATCATACTACAAATGCTCAGTTCTATCTCAGTGAGGGCTTGAATCACATTTGTCTTATTCACATCTATTTCCTGAGCTGTGGTATAGTACATCAGGTGCTTATCCAGATATCTGTTAAAAGATTTAAATGCAAGCATGTATGGAAGCTTCTTTAATCAGAATGGAATATAAATACATTTTTATTTTTTAAAAAAGCAGGTAGCTACCCTTCAAATCCTTATGACTTGAAGCATGACATGCTATCACAGTCAATATTTCTCCATGGAAATCTTTTTTTTTTTTTTTTTTTTTACTAGAGTTCTGTATAGGTGGACTGTTGTGAGAACTGCTCCAACTGAAGAGAGAGCAGATGCTGTCCTGAGGCCATATGTGCCTCCTGCCCTATGTCAAGTGTGATGCAGTTTGTGGGTCTGAATGTCTACTTCAGAAGAACCTTCTAGTGGATGTTACATCACCATTATTCATCTTCTTTGGGTCATGGAATCCTATGAGAAGTGCATAAGAGCAATGAACCCTCTTCTAAGAAAAATGTACAAGCAGAAAATGTTCCAAGAATTTCAAGGTATCTAATTCCTTAATTTAAGCTGATAAAGAATCTGATTATAAGGTAAAGTAAGTGGATATGTCAGGATGAAAAGGAGCTAAAGACAGCTAAGTGTGCTTGCTATGGTAATCTTTTTCATCTTAGAAGGAGGAAAAATAGGAAGTCTGGATAGAGGAAAGAATGGAAGATGCTTTTCTTGAAAGCAACACAAAGGAATGGTAAGTATTTCAAATAGGATTTTTTTAAAAAAGAGAAAACAACACCCATTTGTGAAAAGGTATTAGGGCATAGGAACCAAAGCTAATTAGGAGTACTAACTAGGGAAAGCAACCTGTAAGCTAATGGTTCTGGCAATGGATTTTTCTTTCTATTATAATGCTAAAACTCTTAAGCAGATCTTAAAAAAGGCAGTTTGTGGGTAAATGAGCTGCACTTGGACTAGGAGAAAAAGATACAGAATAAAGGTAAACATGTTTAGAGTAATCCAAAATCACAGATACATCTTTATACACAAACAAAAATACAGCTGACTCTTCAACAACACAGGTTTGAAATGGATGGGTCCACTTATACATGGATTTTTTTCAACAAATATACGTACAGTACTGTAAATGTATTTTTGTCTTATGATTTTCTTAATAACATTTTTTTCTCTAGCTTACTTTATTATAAGAATACAGTATATAATACATATAACATACAAAATATGTGTTCATCAACTATGTTATTAGTAAAGGTTCCAGAAAGCAGCAGGTTATTAGCGGTTGTTTTGGGGGAGTCCAAAGGTCTATGTGAATTTTTGACTGTGTGTGAGGGAGCAACCCAACCCCTGCACTGATGGAAGGGTCAACTGTATTATGTTTCACTAATTTTAAGATGCACTTTTTCCAGTTAATATCTATGAAATGGAGTTGCATCTTATAATCCATGATGTAGTGCAACTGGTAGTGTTTTAGTGGTATAATTATGTGTTTTACAATTAGTGGCTGATTAAGATTACAAGAAACACATAAATGTCTATTGTAAATGTAATGATATATAAAAATATCAGGTAAGATATTTTAATACATACTTTGGTCCACAATTACATTCTTGTACATTACTTATTACATATACAGATGTACTAGGTTCTACCCAATTCTATCATTCCGGTGGGCTCTAGAGAGTCTATATGTTTCCCAAAAGTTAACTCAGAGAAAACTAATCTTGGTTATTCCTAAGAAAAAAGAATCAAATTCATTCTTCCCAAATAGATTCATAGATGGATCACTTGTTCAGGTTTATACCTCCCCACTACCTTTAGCCTTTCCAACTATTTAGGTACTTAAGCTCTTAATAACATGTCTTTTGTCTCCATTTTAAGATCAGGTAAAGAAGGGACCAAGTGACTTGCCCAAAGTCACGTAGCTAAAAGTGGTCAAACTACTAAATGACAACAAATCAAATGGAAGTAAACAGGATCTAAAAATTGTCTGGCCCCAGTGATCCAGGGAATCTTTTAAAGAAAGAAATATTTTAACATTTCTATGATAGTCAGTGCATTATTAATGTTTACCCACATTCACAAAGTAGAACTACTATATCAGATTCATAAAGATTAAAAATTAACTCACTCTGTTGGTGAGGGCGGGGGTAAAAGAGACATTCCTACACAATGCTGACAGAAGTATAAACTGCTATAATTTCTTTGGAGAGTAATTTGGAAATACTTGAAAAATATCCTTTGGCCCAGCAAATCTCCTTGTAGGATTTTTCTTACAGGCATGTTATCACGTGCACAAGAAGACTGCAGAGTTGTCTGTAACAACAGACTGGACACAACTTAAAGCTCTTCAAGAGGGAATTGGAAACAGAAATTGTGACACAGCCATCAACAGAACACTAATCACCTATTAAACCAAATAAGCCAGATACGTGGAGCAAGACAGAACAATCTCAACGATAAATGACTATATCAACAAATCAAGTGTGCACAGTATACCACCATTTGTGATTAACACAGAGTGGGAGAGGAAAAGAGGGAGACACCAAACACAAGTTTGTACATCTGTACACTATGGAAGAACATAAAAATTCCGGAAATCATCGTGTCAGGGTGGGAAACCTGAGAGACTGAGATTAAGTCAGGGACAGAAGGAGACTTACTTTCTACTTCTGTAAAAATGTTAATAATGTTTTTACCAAATATCAGTTATGAATAATAGAAAATATTTTTAATTTCCTTCACATGAATAAATCAACATAAAGATCCATAAGCTCTTCCAGTTTCATCTCTAAGAATTTGGTGAATGTTACCTTTCCATTCTTCTATTGTATGTTCCCTTTCATCTAACTGCTTGTCAGGTATCTTTGGTGGTGGCTGAAAAACACAAGGCAACAATAACAGAGTCAGTTTATTGGGAGTATATAAATTCTTTATAATTATTTGAATTATTAGCCAGGCAGAGACTTTCAAACATACATCATTATTAGACCAACACTGACCAATCACCAACAGCCTTCTTCTGTAGAGACTAGTTTTGGATGACGTTTTCACGATAGGAAAAAAGATGTTTACTCTTTTTCTTTTCTTCTAGTTTTTGAAATTGTCACATTTACATCACAGAATTGTGCTATGCTTTGGACACAACAGTTTGTTTTGTAACTAGTCAGAATGTTTTCCCAAAGTGCTCAACATTCTAGTGCATCATGTACCAAGGCAAAAAGGCAAGAAATAGTGGGATGTAACTTTATTTTGTGTGGAGGGTGCTTGGATATGCTCATTAACTTAAGATACTATTCATGCAAAAACAGAAAAACACCATAATCATTTATGTATATTTTTATTTAAAATTAAAAAGTTTCCTCCAAACCTAACTTTAATTCAATATATTCTTCAAACATTAAGAAAAGAACTTACAGCTTCTGCCTCAGAAGGATCATACCAAACATTGATATACGGGTGCTGGAGAGCTTCATCTACAGAGATCCTTTTAGATGCATCAATTACCAGCATTTTGGATAACAAATCCCTTGCCTGACTGGCTGTAAAAAAAAAAAAAAAGATGTTAATTTACATGTATTTCATAAAAGTTTTTAAATTATCATAAATTTTAGAAACTTGAAACTATCATTTATCAATAAGTATATGTTTTAAAAAGAATAGATTTTACTATAAAATCAGGTCATACATATGATTAAAAAAATAGAACTACAAAAAAATATAAAATAACAAAAATTTAACTAAAACCTTTCTCTTTTTTCCCCCACCCCGAGAGAACACTGGGTTATATCCCTTAAGAACATAAACACACACACACACACACACACACACACACACACACACACACACACACATCCCAAATGGGACTAAATATACATATTTATAAAAAGTACCTTTAAGTTTGTTGTGTTCCGAGTCAGCTGGGAAAAGTACATCGGGGAAGAGTTTCTCAAAGCTATATCCAGCATATTTAGGTCTGTTTTCAACATAAGTCCTTACTGTTGGCTGTAGTTTCTTCATGAATTCAGGGCATGGTGTTCCAAGCTGTTCAATAACTTTATTCCACTGATCAATATCTAATATCAAGTAGCTAAGAAAAATACTCTGTATCTAATGTTCAACACATTAGCCATATCTATATTAAAATAACAAGAAAACGGCAATTTAAAAAATGCTAAGAAAGAATGTGGCAGTTATAAATCTTCTGTCTTATAGCCACCTTGTAAAAGGCAATGACTGTAGATAGAAAGTATCAATAAATAAGCTTTGTTAACCTTATTGTGTGTGTGTGTGTGTGTGTGTGTGTCTACTAATACTGATTTTACCATTAAAACAGAAGCTTAAACCCACAAATTCTAAATACAAATGGTAAGTGACTCAAGAAATAATGATAATTACTACCTACAGGGACTCTAAATTTAAATTATACACAATTCTATAATACAAAATCTGTCTTTTGTTCCAGCTTATCAGAAAATGTGAATACATTTCCTGGAGGATAAGAAATATTTCTTACAATCTGTCCTATATTTTTTTGTTTTCTGCACTAACAGAAAATAACCAGTAGCAATAAAAATGATGGCTTTAACAAAAGTGGCATTTTCTTTTGCCATTCTTTGTTTAGCTTATGTTAATTAAAATGTTTTTAAAGCTCTGAAACTTAAGACAATGAGTCTGTGTTTTGGTAAGTTGTGAAGTTAAGATTCCCGGTCATTTTCATCCTAGTTTTTATACTCCAAGTCCTCCCTGCAGACTAACTCAAACTTTCTTACTATAACCCAGTGAGTATGGTTTTTCCCATTCCTCCTCCCTATACCAATTCTAAGTGTTACTAACTGATAAACACATAACAGATCACTGTTAATATAAATACTGAAACTAGTCAGGTAAACAAAAAGAATGAATCCAAATCTACTCACCACAATATTAAACTACTACTGCTAAAATTCTCAGATGAAAAAATCAGTATGTTATGTTGAACAATGAGACAACAACCAAAAGACACAAAACACACAGAACATTAACAAAAGAGGAGGTGGTTGGGGGAATAAAACAAAAGGATGAACAGAAGCAACAGACAATTCTAAAATTCATATTAAGTCCTAAGTACTTCTAGACTTACTCAAGTGTATAGTTATTAGAAATTTTAATACAAGCCATGATTTTTGATTTAGGTTAAATAAATCAACTCAAAGCTGGCAAGTAATTGTGGATAATTAACTTGAGAAGTTGTCAGAATTAACATATAAAACAATAAATGAGGGAAAGGAAAGTCTATGTCAAATAGCAGGTGGTATTTTGAAAGAGTAATTTAACAATACTTCATTATTAGGGAGAGACAAAAATACATTATACCTGACCAAACTGAAGTGCTACCATACATTTTGACCTTTAGAAACTACATTTTAGGCCAAAGATAAGGATACGATCTGTACCTGGGAACAAAACACCACCTTTGATCATTTCTCCCATGATGCACCCAACTGACCAAATGTCAACTGAAAACAAAATGCAATGACATTAACATAAAGATTTTGGTTAAAATAAAAAAAAAATATTTAAACATTAAAAAAAATCACATACACCATGTATACTTTAAAATTATAGAAAGCAGTATAAAATAAAAATGAATGACAGTGAATGTGCTCTAACTACCAGCAGAGACTGTATGTCCTACTGCCAGATGCAGCCTACAAATATTTCAGCTTCTTGTCTCAACAATTTTTGAACTATAACAGCCACAAACTTTACATTTGTTTAAAGAAACCCATATATATGAATGTACCATATTTATTTTCATTAGAGAACATAAGGAAGTTCATCACCTAACTAATTTAACTGCTGCAGCAGCACAAGGATACAGTCCCTTCCTGGAAAGAGGATTTTGTGGCAAACCATTTCTCCCATAATGCACCCCACAGACCATAAATCCACTATATGTTTGCAGCACAAAAGAAGGAAAAGCAAAGCAAAAGGTCGTTAAAATCAAAGAAGCATAATATGACTGCATTATATAAAAACTGCAAAACATCACAAAAAGAAAAAAAGTGATTTTAATTTTAGCTAATGGAATAATTTAAAACACAAAATATTTTTCAAAATGCTTTGATTCACAAAAGCAAATGTGAAGTGTAGCCTTTTAACTACATATCTAATTTTAAAGTGAGAGCTATGCACAGAAATCACGTAATTGAAAAACCTATACATTCTGTCTCTAAAAACTGTTTATAAAATATGAAACAGAACCGAACACATCTTTTCAAATAAGGCTGAAAACGAACAGGAGGCAGCAAAATTTAAATAATAAAATCTTGACACTATTTTGAGGTTCAACTGTGCATTATACTCTCTCTTTAAGTCAAAAAAAAGAAAAAAGCATGAGCAGAAATAACCTAGTATATTAAAATATTTAACAGAAAGAACGTGTTTCTATGAGTCATTACAATTAAAAAGTTAATCAAAAGCTCTTCAGAAATTTTCAAACTGGATTTCAAACTGGGTAAATTTATTTGAGAAGTCCTGTTTATTCTGAACTGAGTTACTGTTTTCTTGGCAATGTCATGACACATTTACCCTATTATCCCAAAAGGAACAAGTGCATAGAAAATGAACAAATAATCAATGAAGAAAACTTCACAAAAGAAGTATATTTTATATGTTTTCCACCTATGGTTTTTTAAACCCATAAAACCAAACTGCTTTGGTTTAAGAAGTTAGTTTTAGTTGGATATGATATGAAAGCTCCCACAGATTTATTATGTACATGGAGTCTCCTTGTTGACTTATTGATCATCAACTTTTAATGGGAGCTCTCAATGCTGGAAAAGAATCTGCTAGACAAAGAAAATGGCAATTTGGAAATCTCCACCTGGTTCACTAATATACCCTGACATTTTATATCTTTGGTTTGAAAATTTGGTTAAAAAAAAAAAAAAAAAGGAGAGGAGGTAGCTAGATCCATTGTGGTGATCACTTCATAATGTATATATAAAGACTGAATCACTATGATGTACACTTGAAACTAACATAATATTGTATGCCTACTATATACTTCAATTTTAAAAAAAGGGGAGTAGGTGGTTACAGTTTAATAGAAGAGGGGAAGAATAAGCAATTTAAAAAGAAAGCCTTAGAAACTTGCATTTGCTTTTGAAGTTTCAAGGTCCTTTTTAAGAGCAAAAAAAGAAAGGGGAAGAAATAAGTGTTAGGGAGAAGTGCCCATGCTGGTGGACTTATGAAATTAGAAGTCTGTACTTTTTAATATACTCATAAAGGGACTGCAGCTCATTACAGAATCTTTGTAACAAAGGTGGGAATAAATTTTGGAAATCCTGTAGAACTGAAGTTTCTCTAATATTTCATATTAAAATTCATATGACTCTGTAGGAGCCAACTTTCAAGAATAAAATTTTAGAGGAAAAGGTAATACTCGTAAACCAGTTCAGAGAACAACTTTTTTCCAGGGTTTTCATTTTTGGAATAAATCTACCACAATAAATTTCCCTATAGATTTTAGAGAACAGCAAACTTTAAATATCCAGGACGTTATTTATGTAGGTGACCTTAAGAAAAACATATTTTTAAACAAATCTCAAAAGTTGCAAGCATGAGAAGATATTGCCTGGGTTAGTGAAGACTTCCTCAAAATATGGTGTGCCTGATTCAAACACAAAACTAGCTTTAAATGGTCTCACTGCTTAGTCTATTAGGCAGTTTAAATATATTCCATTATGTTACAGTTTGTAATAAAGCTTTACGGTAGCTTGCAATAAAAGACAAAACAAAGTTGTTAAAACAAGTGGGAGTGGGATGTTACTGAAAGAAGGAAGTTCTAATGTTTAACCTTATTGTTATCATGATTAAGCATTACATTTAACTTTGTTTCCTGAGGCAAAAATGGGCAATAAAGTGATCTATACAATTCCTATCTAAGACAGGAAAGCATGTCAATTCTTTATGATAGTTTCTCTTGGTGCTAATTTCTGGTAGGAAGCTATCACCAAGATCACATTTATAGGACACTGAGTGACACAGTATCTGTGACAATTGACAGCTTTATAGCAAATGTAAAAGTAATCTTCATGATGGTCACTGGAAGTCTCATTTCTCAAGAGTCTAATACTAAATCCAACTCACTGAATTCTAAGGTATAAAACAATTTTAGAGAGTAAGAAAAAACAGCACGTTAAAGAATAATCATAAATATTTAAATACTTGTTTTTAATTCAGAAAAGCAAAGGAAATTAAGCTAAAATCCTCAGTTCAATGTTGTCTTTTATAAAAAAATCTTGAAGATTGAAGTAAGAGAGTTTCTTGATTCAAAGTGAACTACTGTTCCAGATTCCTTACTAAAAAAAAAAAAATCTAGGTCCTATTCTAGGGAGTATTTTCGATGAAATGACCACATTTCAAAAGTTAACAGTTTAAGTCCATTATCATCCTGTGTAGATTTATTTATATCCTAAATATCAGAGATTCAACAAAACTTCTTAAATTACATGTATGTACATATATATATAACATTTTAAAAAATACGTGAACTACATGCCTGATCACTTTCTTCAACCTTGATTCTAATGCTGAAATATTTAACTGAATATACCCACATATAATAATGCCATTTCTTTAAGGTGGGACACAAGGCTATGATGAAACACTGTTTCTTCCAAAAGATCACCTTAATTATCCATCAGCTTTGCAGAATGGCCTCACTGTAGCTCTTAAAGTTTACATTAAGTGCTATAACTTTAGTTTCATAAGTTTAGAAATAGGTTCAAATATCACTAATGCAAAGTAGGATTATTACTAAAGATAAACTGTCAGTCCACCATATACTTCCTTGATCCCGTTAGAAATACTCATTTTTCAAGTTATAGGCAAGCAAATGGCATATGTTCTGTTTTAGGAGCCATTGCAACAAATCCTTTATCCAGCTGTAGTGTTGATAGTTATGTACTTATATTTAAATAAACAGGGGCCCCAAGTTTTTCCAAACATTTATGACAAAATTTATAGTTACTTTCAAACTTGTGATAAACATTTCAGTGATACATTTAACTTCTATGCACTTCAGCTTAAATATTTACATAAGAAATCTGATAAACAAAAGCAAATAACAGTATTTCAAGTAAATAGTGTTTGCTGACCGTTTTCTTTGTAGCCCATCCCTAGGATGACCTCAGGTGCTCTGTAGTAGCGAGTCACTACGTAAGGTGTCATCATAAAACTAGTTCCTGCAGTCCTGGCCAGTCCAAAGTCAAGAATCTTCAAAGTGCAGTCTGATTTTACCACTATATTACTGGGCTTTAGGTCCTTCAAAATATTAAAAACAAAAAATGACTGCTATGATATATATAAACACTTTACAGTTTACAAGTTATTAGATCACTTTTTTAAAAAAAGATTTTATTTATTTATTTGAGAGAGAGAGAGAGGAAGTTTGTGACTGAGCAGGGGGTGTGTCAGAGGAAGAGAGAGAATCCCAAGCAGACTCCCTGCTGAGCGGGGAGCCTGAAATGGGGCTCCACCCCACGACCCTGAGATCATGACCGGAGCTGAAATCAAGTCGGATGCTTAACCCACTGAGCCACCCAGGTGTGCCATTATTAGATCACTTATAAAACAATTCATGATAACTGTTGTAGTTTCTCTCATTATAATCAACATCACACTGCTCAGATTCAACGTAACAGGCAATGTTGAGAAATTAGCTTAATGGCATTTTTCACTTATGAATACCTACATACATATTAGAGAAATTTGTAATGTTTTATTTTCTAGAAATTATGATTAGCTAGAAATTTTCAATCAAGTGCAATAAAAGCAATTTGTAAGGCATTTCAAAGTTTTTATAGTAAAAGAAAGAGAATCATAAGTTAGCATTTATGCTCACTTGTATACTGAATTAGCAGAGTTTTTTAAAATCTCATTTTAGGGCTGCCCAGGTGGCTCAGCTGGTTGAGTGTCCAACTCTTGATTTTGGCTCAGGTCGTGATCTCAGAGTCATGGGTTCCAGCCCTGCACTGGGGTCCACACTCAGCGGGGAGTCTGCTTGAGATTCCCCCTCTCCCTCTGCTCCTCCCCTCCCCACTCGTTCTCTCTAAGAGGGAGAGAACACGCTAGCAGGGGGAGGGGCAGAGGGAGAGGGATAAGCAGACTCCCTGGAACCTGATGCAGGGCTTGATTCTAGGACCCTGAGATCACGACCTGAGCTGAAGGCAGATGCTTAACCGACTGAGCCATCCAGGTGCCCCCAAAAATCTCATTTTAAAGTCACAGTAAGCTTTATATAGATATTACAAGTCAACAATGGGTCACTCCATGTCAATCCAAGCAAATGTCATTTGACCTTTCAAACTGGCAGACTTTCAATTCTAAAGGACTGAAATGGTCATTATCAGTCTTTCCATCACTGGATTCCTACTTGAAATTACACAAATTTGTTCATAAAATTGTCATCTGCCCATGGAAGTCGGACATCACTGTCTTGGTGCCACTAATCCATAAAATTACTTGCTGTTGATGCTGCTAAATAATGTCCTTGTGAAGAATTTTCCACTTAACCCAACCTTAAGGAATTCTGTGCTATGATCATTAAAAGGCATTCATTACTTCAAGTCCAACACACTGCCTGTTAGCTCCGATGAATCTTATTATGAACCAAGAAACCAAAGAAAGCAAGCACAGTATATCCACACCACAAAACCATTCCATTACTGGTACTGACAAGTAGTATATAACATTCAATGCCAGTAATTAATACAAAAGAAAAAAAGCTGGAAAGACAGTTTACACTTTTGTAACGTTTACATCCAGAAAATCACATATGTTGTCTTTAGCATATTTTGACAGGAGATCATGAATGGGTTTAGAAGATATGTAATCTAAGGGATTTTTCAAATTAAAAATAGATATCAACAGGCTTAGTGAAATAGAAGGTGAAAATTTTCATTATTGCTATTCTGTAAATATAAACTGAACATTATTTACAAAATACATTATCTCAGCAAAGTAACACAGCCTGTTCAAGAATTACATATTGCAAGCTTTGATACTACTTCAGTATCTACTGTGATGGGTAAAGATTAATGGCTCTTTATACTACTGCATTCTAGCCTAGAGATAAGATTTCAACCTTAAACACTTTATTTTGGAAAGATTAAGAGCACAATACAATTTTTTTAGAAGTATTTATCAAGAAAAGTCAAAAAAATGCTTCAAAGAATATTACCTGAAATTCATCTTTGTATATCAATCTATACCTTGCTACAGATGGTAGTAACATTGCTAACTATATATGAGAAGAATAAGTGAATTTGTATAAATTTGTGGCAGAGGAAGTAGAACTAACCGAATATTCTGACTTCTCCCCCCAAATTTTTCAGCTTCCTTACATGCAAGGACTAACTGATTAGTTCTAGTCAATAGGACAGGAGCGGGAGCAAAGAATAGAAGCGCCATGCACAACATCCTGTCTTCTCTTCCTCTGCTTTGTTGATTAGTACCATTCCAGGTAGTGGATCTTCTGTCAGCCCAGGTTGTTGAGCACCTAAGTAAGGCAGAATCCTTACCCCACCGTGATCTACCCTGGACATGTAGTATGGAAAATAAACCTTAGTTGTGTTAAGCTACTACGAATTTAGGGTTTATTTGTTACCTTGGCATAGTCTAGTGGTAACGCTGTGATTTATAATAAGAAATACATATTTGGTCTTTGTCCCAATTACAGGCACACAGCTCCTAAAACCCTTAGAATTACCTAAAAGGTAAGAGCCATAAAAGTGAAAGGAGTGCCTTTTGTTATTCACAAGAAGTCCCTTTCCGGGCACCTGGGTGGCTCAGTCAGTTGAGTATGGGCCTCTTGATTTTGGCTCAGGTGTCAGAGTTGTGAAACTGAGCCCCATATGTCTGGCTCCGTGCTGGGCATGGAGCCTGCCGAAGATTCTCTCTCTCTCTCTCCCTCTACCTCTGTACCACCCTCCTCCTGCACACCTGTACTCCTGCTCCTGCTGGAGTTTATGTTAATGAGGTGACTTCTGGAAAGTTCCAAAGGATGGGGGTTGATTGCCAGGAGAAACAACAAAGTAATTAAAGGGTTGGAACTTTTCAGCATTTCCTACCTCAAACCTCCAGGGAGGGGGGAGGGCTAAAGACTGAGTTCCATCATAAAAGGCCAATGATTTAATCAATCATGCCAGGTAGTGAAGTCTCCATAAAAAACCAAAAGGACTGGTAAGGAGAACTTGCAGGTTGGTGAACATACAAAAGTGCTGGGAGACTGGTGCACCCAGAGAGGGCACCGAAGCTCTGGCCCTTTCCCATTTACCTTGCCCAATACATCTCTCCATTTGGCTGTTTCTGGTTATGTCCTTTGTAATAAACTGGTAATCTAGTAAGGAAAATGTTCTCCTGATTTCTGTGAGCCACTCTAGCAAATTAATTGAGCCTGAGGAGGGGGGTTTTGTAAACCTCTGAATTACAACCAGTAGGTCAGAATCACAGATAACAACCTGGGTTTGAGATGGCATCTGAACAGCAGGCACTTGTAGAACTGATCCCTTAACCTGTTGGATGTGATGCTATCCAGGTAGGTAACATCAGGATTAATTTAAAATACAAGATCCCCAGCTGGTGTCCAGAGAACCTGAGACTTGTTTGGTGTGGGAAAAACTACCACACATTTAGTTTTAGAAGTAATAATGTAAGAGTAAAGGAGACACCTAGAAATGTTTTTCCTTTATACCAGTCTATTCTAACATTGAACTTAGTGCCAGAAGTGGGATATTACTATTATAAACACAGGATCATAGCTTAGCAGTTTGATCAGCAGGCAGCAGGGAAACTAATACCAGAGGTTGGATAGGTGATCCAGGTTATATAATAGCAATACACTTCATGATACCACCCCTTGCAATCACTTGGAAAGCACAACTTGCATAATGAACCTGAAACTCTAGAACAAGGGTTGACAAATTAAAGCCTGCTTTTGTGAAGAAAGTTTTATTAGAACACAGTCCTGCCCATTTAATCACCTACTGTCCATTTAATCACCTACAGCTGCTTCTGTGTTACAATGGCAGAGCTGAATAGCTGTGAGACGCTGTCATCTGCAAAGCCTAAAATATTTACTATCAAGCCTTTATAGAAAAAGTTAGCTGACCCCTGCTCTAGAAGAGATTGGAAAGCAAAACTTTAGTAGTGTATTGGTGGCTACTAGCTGCATTTGAAAGAACTGGCCACTTTAAAAGCAGAAATGCACGGGAACCAGAATCTAGAATTGCAGGACCTTGCCATTCTAGAAAAGTTAAATGGTACTAAACCCTTAAAAAAAACTGGCAGATTGTCCAGTAAATCTCTCTCCCACCCAACCCAGGATATAGATGTTCCTTGACTTCATGATGGGGTTACGTCCCAATAAACCCTCATAAGTTGAAAACATCGTAAGCTGAAAATGCATTTAATACACCTAACCTACCGAACATGATAGTTTAGGCTAGCCTACCTTAAACATGCTCAGAACACTTACCTTAGCCTATGGTTGGGTAAAATCATCTGATGCAAACCCTATTTTATAATAAAGTGTTGGAGTATCTCACATAATTTATTGAGTAGTGTCCTGAAAGTGAAAATCAGGATGACTGGGCACAGAACACTTGTAAGTGTAGCGGTTCTTCACCCTGTGACTGCCTGGCTGGCTAGGAGCTGCGGCTCACTGCTGCTGCTCAGCCTCGTAAGACAGTAGTGTCCTACATACTGCTAACCCCAGCAAAGGTCAAAATTCAAAGTGTGAAATGTGTATCACTTTTTACACCACTGTAAAGTAAAAAAATTAGGTTGAACCACCGTAAGTAGGGGTCCATCTGTACTCCTCCATTTTATTAATGAGCCTTGACAGATGACTTGTTTAGGCAATGGAATGTGAGGGAATATGATGTTCACCAAATCTGAAAAAGTTTTCAATATGCTTGATTTAGCTTGGCTCTTGCTCTGGTATCTTTCACCATGAGAAAACGATGTGCCCCAGAGAGGCATTCCTTTGGCCTGAATAAGGGCAAACCCTGAATCTGACCCCATGGTCTGGAGCAGTGCCACACAACCAACCTACAGACCCCTGAGCAAGCAATAAACGTTGTGTTAGGCCACCGATACCTTGGATTTGTTTTCCGTGCATCACTTCCACTTAATAATCCTGAAAACCTCTGAGGGAAAAAGAGCTGTACATTCTTTCAGTTGATGAAAATGCCTTAGGCTTGCCAACAGAAGCCTGAAAGCTTAAAGGCAGACATTAAGTCGAAGAATATAGAGCCAGTGAC